TCGCTCCCAGCCTTTCCGTTCCGCCCACTCCTCTGTCGTTCCTCCTCCACTCGAGAATGCGCGACCGGGCGCTGCGAGCTGCGCAAATGCTGTGCCGGCATGTGCCAGGCGCGCGCGTGGCACGTTCGGAGCCGTTATGTTATATTCGCGCGGCGCCTGCGGGCCCTTGTTGGCCCGCAAGTGACGGCCCTGGCACGAGTCAGTAGCTTCTGGGAGCTTACACGCCTCCGGCTTACGCGCTTCTGGGACGATAGTTGAGCCCGCGCGCGGCCCGCCCGGGTCCGAGCGCGCCATGCGGCTCTGGCTTCAAGGCTTGCCCTCTAGCTCGCGGTATTTTTCTTGGAGGGGTTGTCCAGGTTGCTTGGGAGGGAGCTCGTGCAAGTTCTACTTCCGCGGAAGTATGGCGTGTGCGGCCATGTGCGGGCATGGCAGGGTTTTCTTGACCAGTGACCTCGTGGGCATGGATCATGGAGCATGGGGATGCACAGCGCGCGCGGGCATGTGCGGGGGGGCGGCGGTTTAAACGCTGCCCCGCACAGAGGCGCATGGGCGGGCGTGCACGCAGCGCGCGGCATGCGCGCAGAGGAAACGCATAACACATGTGCACTAACATAATGAACATGATAAGAAAGAGCCCCGTGTACAAGTATGAAACCAATGCCTTTTATGCCTCCCTCTATCATTTTTTTTTTCCCCTCTCTCTCTCTCTCTCTCTTTTTGTTTTTTGTCTCTCTCTCTCTCTCTCTCTCTCTCTCTCTCTCTCTCTCTCTTTCTCCTTTTTTTCTTTCTCTCTCTCTCTCTCTCTCTGTCTCTTTCTGTTTTTCCTTCGGAAACTCCCTCCCCCCTCCTCCTCCCTCCGCCTTCCTCCTTCCTCCAGCTGCTCGAGGGAACTCCCGCCCCGCACGCAGCCTCCACCCGCCTACCGAACCCGTCACCCTCCTCGCGCGGTCGACCCGCCAGGAGATTCAGCGCCTGGGACGCTGGCGCGGGCGTCGAGTGCGCCCGCCAGGACCGCGGCAGCGCGGGTTTCCGCGCTGAGGATCATATTGTGCAACCCGATGTCGCTGATAGAACCGCAGCGGATCACGGATATCTGGAGCACTTTACGAGCAGATATTGTAGTGCTACCAGGGACTAGACTGAGGGCATGTTCGGGGATCCCAGTAAGCAGAATGTCTCTTGGGAAGGGGGCCACGGCGCTCCACGCGGGCTGGGACAAGGGCCCATGCACGAATAAGCATGCGGGGTGTACCATCATGTTCGGAGGCATCTTCAGAGCTAAACATTTGAGAGCGATTACGACACCACCATCGTCGATGCAGGGAAGGGGCTTATCGATTAGGCTGCGAAATCAGAGCGTGGACTTAAGCATCATAACGACATACATGCCACCGTTGAGCGATGAATCAGCAAAAAAAGAAGGGCCCTCGAGAAGGGCTCGACGCAGTTACTCCAGTGGGCCAACAAGGAGCTCACAGCGGTCCCGACTAGGTCAACCCCGATCCTCTTGGGGGATTTACACGCCGATGGGGCTTCGAGGAGGCCTACATACAGTAGCACCCACAACGCAGTACGACTGGTGGGAGGAGGGGCGGCTCTTGGCGGGCCCGTATAACATAGGTGAACAGAACATCGTCGGTGACCTGATTCAGGATGAGATTTTGGGGCCCTTGGAGATGTATGACACGGTCACAGCAGACAAGTTTGGAGGCCCGACTTATTATGGGAATAAATTAAACAGCAGCACCATCGATCACATTTTCGTTCCAATTGCGGTTCGAGAGCAAGTCCAGCCGTGTCGGGTGCTCTGGCCGCAGGCGAGACGCTTGCAGATGATGCCGAGCAGAACGCCGAGATATCATGTGCCCATTCTTTTACGACTTACAGTGTATCGCCGATATGAAGACCAACAGGATGCACGACCAAGATGGGATCGAGACAAATTTGCCGCGGCTGTGCAGCGGGGCCACGGCAGGACACCTTTTCTGGAGGAGCTCGATCAGGTGATGCAGCGGATCTTGCCACATATTTCACCCCTGGTCCAGATGGGCCATGTTGATGCGGCGTGGAAGCTGTGGACACAGACCGTGTGCGACATTGGTTTGAAACACTTCCACCAAATCGTTCGAAGACCACCCGATCCCGAACTGGCCGCGCTTCGCAGACGTCGACTGGAGTTGGTACGACGTCGACGCGAACTACGAGAAGGATTACAGCTTATTCAAACTTCAGATTTTACTTGTTCTCAGAGAGTGACGGCGATGTTTTCGAGAGTAGATTCGAGTATGCAGAGATCATCGTTATCCGCACAGGACATGACAGAGGTAACTCATGAGAGAACAGGAGCCAAGTATGGAGCCGCGAGGAGTACCTCGCCGATGCCGATTGCGCCAGTGGAGGATCCAGAGTTGCAGGAGCTTCAGGATATCAAGCGTAGCCTTCGTCGTGAAACCCGGGCACATTGGCAGCGCGCACGACGGAGGCTTGAGAAGGAGATCGAGGAGGCACATCGGGCCCGACGCCATGCCGAAGAACACAAGTTACTATTCCTCTTGGCAGCGAAGCAAGGTGGACCGAGACGCAGACGCTACAACCTGCCGCAGACCTACGAGACGAAGGAGGAGTGGACCCAGCAGCTCAGCCTCTCTGCCGCGGGGGGAGGTATGGAAGCTGTTCCGATGGACGTGGAGCGCACGCTGTCCCTCTTCTCTCAGCCCCCACATCTGCCAGGAGTTGAGGAGCAAGAACGTCATGAGTTCCATGGAAGACGCGATTTTCAGATGACACTCCGTCAACTTCGCAAGAGCCAGCAGCGCAGAGCAGCACCACCGTGGAGTTTCCCAGTAGAGTTGCACTTAATGGCCGCAGACCCCAAGTACCTCTCCGTGGGCCCAGAGGAACACCTAGGACTTGGCTGCGCCCCGATAGGGGAGGCAACAATGACGACTTCGGCACATATACTTGAAGATCTACATGTAGCATGCCGCATGATAGGACGTACCCCGATATTGGGGAACCTCGCCTGGGCGATCCCTATTGCCAAGTTTAACGGGAAGGTCGGAACGCTTTCGAAACGGTTGATCAATGTGATGTGTCCGTACTGGAAGGGGCTCTACGGGGGGCTGCTGAACAAAAAACATGCATGCCCAGGGAGTTCGGTGGCCAGCAGAGTTTCATGGGTTTCTTCCTCGTCGCCGTCGGGAGGATGCCATCGCAGTACAGCTCTGCATGGGCTTTAGGTATCGCGCACATAGAGTACCACACTTGAATAACCTGCACGACATGACGAACGCATTTGCATCGACGACGGCACGCGCACGTAGACACGCTATTAATCAACTGTTCAATCATGCGGATGCACCACTCATGCACGCACGGTCGGAGACTTCGGGTGTTATCAAGATCTTCGAGGAATCGTCGGGGGGCCCCTGGAGGAACCCTAAGAACCTGTCCGTGCGACACCAAAGAGGGGGTCTGATGGGATCCAGCGAGGAGCCCGTAGTTTTCGCGAAGGCGATGGAGCAGCCGATGCGACACTGGATTGATAAGCGTTCGACGGCTTCGGAGGTCACACACCTTAGATGCGGAATATTTGGGGGCACTTGCTGTGGGGCGACGACGGTCTACGCCGACGACATATTTGACAATATGCCGATGACCGACGCGAGCCCCGAGACGATTAAGACGATTTTGGAGTCGAGCGACGCGACTTTGGATCAGGAGTTGGAGGAGGTGGGTTTGACACAAAATTACAGCAAAAGAGAAACCGTCCCGAGCCTCAGAAGCCATCGAGCGAACAAGATTTTCACCGAGGAATTCGCAGGTGGCAAAGCGCTACCTCGTGCAAGGTACCTGGGCAGCAGATATGCCTGGAACCTGTCTAGCATGGAGGAGTTCAGGTGCCGCAGCGCCGCGGTCCACGCCGGCTGGGGGAAGATGGGGAACTTTGGACGAGTCGGATTTCTCGGAGTATCAAGAGGATGGCCTTTAGGGGCCATGTGGTGGAAGCAGCGCTATCGGCCAATGAGCCGTATGTTTTCTCAACGGCCCAAACACATCAGTTGGACATTGTGATTTACAAATATCTTCGGGTCCTGGAACGAGGGAGGGCTACGGACTGGGAGGGAGAACACCCACACACGCTACCTAGTGCAGTGCTGCGCCGAAGGTGGCGACTCATGCCAATCCGCCTCGAGCAGGCGGCCGGGAGATTCGGGTGGGTGCAGCAGATGGCCAAGGGCGCCGTCGCGCACCGCCAGGTGATTGCTGCGATATGGGGTGCACTACAGAGTGGGCCCGAGAGCTTGGACGCAGATGGCAAGCTCACGAAGTCTGCACCTCCCATCGCCGCGCAGATCGAAAAAGATATCTGGACCTTCGCCCACATCAGCGGAGCGGAGGACTTCTTTGAGGCCTGGGAGTCTTGGGGATATTCTTGGAGGGCCCTATTCTTGGAAGAGGCTATTCGGGAGACCTTCTTGAAGTTAGACGCTAAGTTTTTACGGGCCGCCGTATTACATGATGGGGAGGAATTATTCTTATCACGCCTTAGGGGACCCGCGCAGGCTCTGAAGGAAAATGGAGGCAACTCAATGGAACCTGGTAGATTTGTATGTACTCTTAAGGACGAACGCGACAATATATGCTCTCAAGTATTTGATACACGTAGTGCCTTATTTGCCCATCAGTCAAGATCGAAAGGGGGGGGGCATGGGAAACTTAACCCACTGTTCTCGTGCGCGATCTCGAATGTGTGCCCCTGGTGCCGAAGATGTTTTTTTCGACCCGTGATAGTGCTAGGCAACGTGTGAGAATGGCCTGGCTAAACAATAGATGTCGCCTCAACCGCGCAGCCTTCTCGTGGAGCCCAGTGGTGCCCAAATCGTGCACGTGCCCGATGCGCGGAGAGGAACACGACACGTTGGACGATTTCTTGGAACATGCCGTCGAACAGCACCTTCCCCCCCCTCCCGTCGCCATTCTGCCCAGAGCGCCTCGAGTCCGTGTCCGAGCTGCTGAGCGCACAGCCCCGGCCGAAGCGGACCGCCATGGCCCTGACCCTCGGCGGAGATCCAGTCAAGCCCGAGAACTCGCGCATATCGCGACGACGAGTGGAAGACGGCGAACAGCCCAAGATCGCCAAGACGGCTGCAGGCTACAACCCAGCCAACAAGTCGCTGATGGTGCTCATCATGAAGATGATCATGCAGTTGGCACAGTCGCGCCGCACGGTGGAGGGCATCCTATTCGACGTGATCATCGCGCCGCAGGACATGCCAGAGGTAACTCGCATGGCCGAACAAGGAGCCAACTACAACGAGCAGGTGCAGGCGAAAGGAAAAAGGACACAATCTGGGAGCCCCCCACTTGTACGTGTTCGGGGGCCTGCTGGAGGCTCTTCTCAACCGACAGGAGAGCATCGGCAAGGCGAGCTACGAGAAGCTGAAGGAGCTCAAGCAACGCCTCGGGGCGCTGAACTACGAGGAGCGCATGGACATCATCAAGTTCACGAAGCTCGACAGGTGCTTCAACCAGCAGCAGGGGCGGATCGCGCTGTGCCTGGGGGGCTGCCGCAAGGAGATCATCGGAGCGCTGGTCCAGCTGGGGGGCGAGTTGAAATCGGGGAGGGCTCCAGCGACGCACATGGAGCGCGAGATGCAGGAGTGGCTCGAAGCTTTTCCGTCGTAGATTCGAGTAATCGAGCGAGATCATCGTTATCCAATGAAGTGGGAGAGTACGGGATGGGGTATGAATCGAAGGGGGATTCACGACACACTGCTACACCTTATTCTCAGAGAGTGACGGCAGGAATATTTCCGAGTGATTCGCCAGCGATGCCAAGCAATGTACGTTCACGACCTAGTGCTTGGCGCGAGAGAGTGAACGCATCCATCTCATCACGATCGATACCACCGCCCGCATGCATGCTGACATCGGCCTTGGCAAGTACGTCGAGGATCCAGAGGCCCATGAGGAGTATTTCGCCGTGTACTCCGATTGCGACCAGTTGACCTCAGAGGTTATCCCCGAGTTCCCAGAGGCCCTTGAGGGGCATTTCACCGAGTGTTCCGATTGCCTCCAGTGGATCTCGGAGGGCACCGTCGGGGACTCAGAGGCCCTGGAGGAGTATTACACCCAGTGCCCCGATTGCCACCAGTGGATCCCAGAAGACACTTTTGGATACCCAGAGGCCCTGGAGGAGTATTTCCACGCCCCCGACGATTACCCAGTCGAGTTCCAGTAGGTTCCTAGGCCCTCAGGAAGTAGGGATAGAGGTGAGTAGGATTGCTGAGCGGGAATTGCAGCGTAGAGGAGGCGAGGCTCCGATGGGGCTCCAGGGATGTCGAGAGATACTTGATGTCCCTCGGGGTCGACAGAGATTCGGTCAGGTGGGAGGCTCTTGTACGTAGTAAGCACGTGCAGGAGATGGTTCGCCGACAGGGGTGAAGTTTTTTCCCGCGGGCCTGGACACGGGCCATTCGTTCCCGCGTCTGGTGTCTCGGGCAGTGGACGAGGATACGGTCTAGCCTTGGGACCAGCGTCCCAGGCGTTTCGGATCCTTTTTAAGGATAGTCTCTGGGCCTTTTTGAGCCGTCGTAGGTGGACGAACCTGGCCCCAAGGGAGTGTTTCTTTTCTTCTTCCTCCTTCCTCCTCCTCCTCCTCCTCCTCCTCCTCCTCCTCCTTCCTCCTCACCCCCCTACGCCTTCCTCCGTTGTGGGCAGTGGCGATGGTGGGGGTGATGGCTGCGGTGATGACGAAGACCACGATGCTGATTGTGAGGCGGGGCGGGTGGAAGGATTGAGGGAGGGCGAAGATGATACGCAGGAGGGGGAGGAAGAGGGGATACGAGGGGAGGCAGGCTAGGTGCGTTCGCGTCATATCTGACGTCCTACCCCCCCTCCCATCTCTTACCATGGCGCAAATATCGTCCCTATTCGCACAAGAGAATGTCGTAGCATGGCGTAGCATTACATGACATAGCATGGTGCTGACGATTAACGCGTAGCATGACATAGCATGGCGTGGCGACGCCCCAAATGAGGGGATGAAAGAATCGACGCCGAATGTGGAATCATTTCCGATGGTTTCTTCGGGAGGCAATGTTTTAGATTGTTGGGGCCTATTTGGAAGGACCAAGTACCATGCCGTGGCATGGATGACGCCAGCGCTTCAGCGGGATCACGATTCGGAACGAGCGGAAACGCGGAAATGAGGCCAACGCTGCAGCTGGAACACGATTCAGAACGAACGGTAGCCCGAAAAAGAGGCCAGCGCTTCAGCGCGAGCAGCATTTTGGAAGAAACAACGCGGACACGCGGTAATGAGGACGCGTAGCCTGACATAGAATGGCGTGGCGACGCCCTAAAATGGAGGGGGGTCTTCTGCGGCACAAGAAATCAACGATTCGACACTGAATGTGGAATCACTTCCGTTTTTTTTTTTTTTTTTTTTTTTTTTTTTTTTTTTTTTTTTTTTTTTTTTTTTTTTTTTTTTTTTTTTTTTTCTCCGGGGGTGCATTTTCTAGATTCGCGGGCCATTTTGGGAGGACTGAAAACCATGCCGTGGCATGGCGCTGGAAATAATGACGCCAACGCGGCAGCGGGAGCACGATTCAGAACGAACGGAAGCGCGGAAATGAGGCCAACGCTGCAGCGGGAGCACGATTCGGAACGAGCGGTAGCCCGAAAATGAGGCCAGCGCTTCAGCGAGAGCAGCATTTTGAAAAAATACCCACGCGCGGAAGCGCGGAAATGAGGACGCGTAGCCTGACATAGAATGGCGTGGCGACGCCCTAAAATGGAGGGGGGTCTTCTGCGGCGCAAAATATCAACGATTCGACACCGAATGTGGAATTTACTTCCGATGGTTTTTTCGGGGGAGCATTTTCTCTAAATTTTGAGGCCTATATGGAAGGATCGAAAACCATGCCTTGGCATGGCGCTGGAAATAATGACACCAGCGCTGCAGCGAGGACACGATTCGGAACGAGCGAAAGCGCGGAAATGAGGCCAGCGCTGCAGCCGGAACACGATTCGCAACCAGCGGTAGCCCGCAAATGAGGCCAGCGCTCCAGCGAGAGCAGCATTTCGAAAAAACCCAAGCGAAAACCCGCTTCTGGGAAGTCTTGTGTGTAAAAAACCAGTGCGCGGAGGGGGGTCTGTTATTTTTTTGGACGCCACCAAGGGGGAGAGGAGATTAATAGTCATATTGTTTCATTGTGGAGGAAGGAAGGTAAGGAAAAGAAGGAAGAAGAGGAGGATGGATCAGGAGGAGCAGCAAGGAGGAGGAGGCGGAGGCGGAGGACGAGGACGAGGAGGAGAAGGAGGAGGAGGAGGAGGACGAGGATAACTAGGAGAAAATGGAGGAGGAGCAGCAGCTGATGACAATGGTGGAGGAGGTTTGCGCTGCATGGGGCAATTTGAATTGGTTCGCCTTGAATCTGCCCAGGGCGTTTTTTTAGCGTTTTCAGCTCGACGTCTTGGACATCATTTTTTTGGGGACGTTTTCAGGTCTCAACAAACAACTAAAAACACACAAAACAATGATGCGTTGTTTTTGCGTTTTCAGACCGGTGTTTCAGCGTTTTCAGCCAGGAAAAAGAAAACGCCAGCGCAAACAGCCCTGAACACGCTAAACACGCGTAGTTTTTTTTTTTTTTGGGGGGGGGGGCGTTTTCAGCCTCTCAAGAGCCCAATGTAGAAACCGCTTCCAAAACGCCCAGGGCGCTTTTAAGGCGAGCCGAGGGCAATTTCTGCCTGCACCTCTTGCTGGTCCGTGCTTCTCTCCGCGTCGCCCTTCTCCCGCTGCGGGAGGCCGCGCAACACGAGCCTCGAAGGGAAGAAATGCAGAGGACGACGAGGACGTCACGACAACGATGACGAAGACGAAGACGAAGGCGAGGAGGACGAGGACGGCGGCGACGACGACAAAGACGACGAGGGCGACGAGGACGAGGGCGACGATAACGGCGACGACGACAGCGAGGACGACGACGACGACGACCAGGAGAACAGCGACGATGTCGAGGACGACGACGGCGACGACCGCGAGGACGAGCGATCGACGACCCGGGGCGCCGCCCGCCCCCCCGCCGGCAGAGGAGCATCCGCGCGCTGGAGGAGCGCATCGCGGCATTGCGCCTCGAGGAGCGCGAGGGCCAGCTGCGCGAGGAGGCGGACTGCGCGCGCACGGAGCGCGCGGGGCCGCCGCCGTCGCCGCAGCCGTCCCCAGAGAGCCGACGCCCCCGAAAGATTGGAGCAGGCGGTTTTGGGCCGTTCTCGGCCTCCAGGGGCCCTCGCCAGGCCTCGGCAAACAAAAGTTTGGGCAGGCGGTTTTTGAAAGGCTGTCTTCGGCCTCCGGGGGCCCTCGCCGGCCTCGGGAGCGTGAAAAAAACGGCTCAGGACGAACAACCGGCCCTGGAGAAGTGATCCGGAACTCCAGGGTCCACGCACCAAAACGTTGGAGCATCTGGATGTCTGGGTCCCTGAGATCCTGGCGTCCCGATTTTGTCGAGCCGGGCGTTGCGGCGTCTTTTCTCGGGGCCCAGGACCCTCGCAGCTCGATCCGGCTCAAAAAATGACGCAGGCTGATGGGGTCTACGTGCCCTGAGATCCGATGTCGTGATTTTTTCAATGCGGGGCCCCCAGAAGTCTCGACCCATACCCCAGGACCGGTTTGTCATCCCGCGCCGTTTTTTGACGGTCCCGAGGCCCAGCGAGTGTCCCTACATTTTTTCAATGCGCTGGATCTCTGGGGTTAGGGCTCCGGGCGTGCTTTTCTGTGACGTTGCACGCTTCCACTGCGTCGGATCCCAGGGGTGGTCATTGCCGCCGCATCGACGCCTTGGTCCGACGAGGGGGAGGAACGTCGTGATTTTTCCATAACGTCGACCTCCAGAGGTCTGGACCCTTTCCCCGGGACCAGTTTTGCATCCCGAGTCGTTTTCTGACGGTCCCCAGGCCCTGTGAGGACCGCCAGAGGGCGAAAATAGCGAAAAACCTTCCGTCGTGATTTTTTCACGACGCGAGGGGTCTGGGAGGAGGGCCGAGTGCCCGCCGGCGGCAACCCAGCCCGCCAGTGCGGGGGTGCCGGGGGTCCTGTCCGAGTGACGGTCCATGCCGGGGGAGCCACGGGACGGCCCCTCTCCCCAGACCCCCGACGTCGCGATTTTTTCCCGACGTCCGCCCCCAGAGGTCTGGACCCCTTCCCCTGGACCGGATCCTCCTCGAGGCCCGAATCGTTTCTTGGCGCTCCAGGGGCCCGGGAAGGGCCCCCTCGAAGGCCGAAGCTGGCGGCGAACCTCCCGCCGTGGCTTTGTCACAGCGCGAGGGGCTCTGGGTCCTCTCCTCGGGTCGAGGCGGTCCAGCGCCCTCGACCGGGGCCGAGGGGGGCGGCCACATGCAGGGGGCCCAGAGCTCCTCGCGCTGTGAAAAAATCACGGCGGGAGGTTTTTCGCTATTTTCGGCCTCTGGGGGCCCTTCCCGGGCCTCGGGACCGTCAAAAAACGACTCGGGACGGAAAACCGGTCCCAGTGAAGGGGTCCAGACCTCTGGGGGTCGACGTAGTGAAAAATCACGACGTCGGGGGTCTGGGGGTGGCCGGGGGGGGGGAGGGGCACGCGCGGCCACTTCGGGGGCCACGGGCGCCCCAGGAGCGCCTCCGGGCCCAGGAGGGCCCCCCAGGAGGG